CCACCCCCCCCCCCCCCCCCCCCCCCCCCCCCCCCCCCCCCCCCCCCCCCCCCCCCCCCCCCCGCGCCTCAAAAGCGGTTGATTCACAAAAATAATAATTGCATAGAATTTTTTAACCTACTAATGAAATTCTTCAAGATTTATGAATAAATACTAACATTTTTTTTTAAGAAGCCTCACCTACATAAAACAAAGTTTCATTTGGTTTTTTAAGCTGATCTAATTAATAGAGAATGATAATCTTTTAATGTGAGATTACAAACTATTGCAACATAGAGAGAACTAAAGTTATACAGTCTGTTTTTCATTAATCTGTGTTTCTATTGTAAGATTTCCTATGTAATCAAAAAATATTTGATGAATAGTGTCATCAACCAGAAAAGTCAACATCATTTTGATATATCTGTATAACGTGTCCAATTTGAATTTTTTAGTGCAAAAAACAATTGTATGGAAGAGTGCAATAATAAACTCTTCACCGTAGATTCATAAACCCTTCCCCTTCAATTCTGGTGCAATGAACCGTTTTGGAGTTTCGGACAAAAACATAAACCCTTTAAGGGTTTATGAAATTTTTTTTCTAGTACTAGGGTTTATTATTCTACGCTTTTCTTACAGTGTGGTCGTTTACATATAAAATCCAGCCGTTACGGGTCTGTAAAATACAGCTGATACAGTCAGTGACTGTGGCGTATACCGCTGTAAAAAGGTCGTAACCCATCGTATCCTGTCAAACAACACAAGCGGAGTTTCAAAAACATTTCAGTAAATCATAATTTATATTCAACACATATTGTGCTGCGCCAAACAAGAAAAATCACCTTATTAAGGACGCTTCGGAGAGCACCGTTGATGCAAGCGATCAATCGAGAGAAGTAAGAAATACCTATTCCTTGATTTCTGCTGTCCCATGACAAGAAGCTGGAAAAATCTGAAAAATGATACAAGCATCAAACAAGTACTATAGGAAAATGAAGAACATAAAAATATAGAAAAAAAATATAGAAAAGGACAACGGAGAAAAGAAAAATATCGATAGAAGAAACGTCGAAATTAATCATCTAGAAGAAAAATATTGAATAGAAAGCAGGGTTTCGGTGTGGGTGTGGCTTCGAGTATAATAAGTGCGAAACAAGACACCCAGACCTACATAAAAGCAGACAAATGCTGAACGCCACTATGCAACTGTCAATATTACACCAGTAGTTCATGCAACCAAATTTTATAGTTCCTCGTGAGCCAGGGCGTAAATGTGGCGATACTGAATAGAAAATGTACACAAACCTATGCTTTGCTATATTACTGGATGGTTTCATTGCGATAGAAGAGACCTACTTGGGAATGAGTTTTAAAGTTATGAGATGAGCAAGGAGGATACCTATGTCCGAGAAAGATATTTATTTCTATCGCGAAGACTAAAGATCTTTCAAGATACATTTAGATATCGAATCTTGAGATAATATCCAGTATATCGAAAATCCGAGTGCTTGAGATGTCTGCCACTCGAATGGGTGAGGGTGCAGAAATTGAATATATGACTGCCGTCAATATTACAATTAAAGATATATAATTTTACTTGGTGAGCCGTATGTTCATGTAAAACAGAGGACGAATATGGTGAACATGAACGCGGCGAACAACAAAGTCTACCATCATAGTTTCTGTTAGTGATAAGAATACTAATTAATTTATTGCTGATAGTATCATTCGAATGAGTTTTCGTCCAGTCATTATGTTGTTTGTCTATGGTTTCTAGTAATCTTCGCAAATGATTTAGTGATATCTCAGTGGATACCGAAAAAACGGTATGCCAAAAGTATGCAGATCATTTCACTGTTCACTTGAATGTGGTAGGAGGGAAGCAACTATGTGGTTCCATGATAGAATTTCGATGTCACTTCGTATATGTATACTAAGCAGTTTTCACTATGTTCTTGTAGGTTGGACTTGATCCTACTGCCTACGACGATGTGGAAAATGACACAGTATTTTTTACAAAGCTGTTCAATGAACAGTCGGTCTCTTGTTTACCAGCATCGGTGAGTGAGCACATGTCAATTACTATATTTAATTATTATTTAAAATGTATTTTGGGGCGTGAAAAGGTATTTGGTATGCCTAACTATTTCCGTTTGGTTCTGACGACGCCATACGATAAAACGCAAGAAGCGTGCGAGCGCATCGTCGAATTCTGCCATGAACACAAGCAAATTACGAATCCAGATCAATTGCGTGCATCCAAAGACATTACACGATGGGAAGTGCGAGCTGAAGGTCTCGCACAATCAGAAGAGTCAATTCTACCATTTTATACAAATTCGAAAAGATATTAATGAGACTGTCTAAATCCATCAATCTCTATTCCTTGTTTCCGAATTTTTTCGGTTGCTTTTCTCAGTCTAAATTTACCGAAATAAAATATATACAGTGAACGTCAAAATTATCCAACCACTTAATAAAAATGTTTTCTTCAATATTTCAGAGTAGAAATAAGCTAGAGACTTGCGACTTTCACCATAATGTAACCCATCATCTCTAGAATATGTTCGGTTAGACTTTAGGGGTCCACCCTGACAAAAGTTAATTTTTTACAGAAAAAAGGAAATGGATTTTTTTACTATGGGAAGATGTTCCCAATTTGCCTCTATCCAAATAAAAATAAGGTTTTAAAAAACATCCAGGTTAAACAACACTTTCGAAATCATTTCTTCAAACCTAGTACCACAGTTTTAGGCGGACAGGTATTTTTTATTTCGGGGGTTTCTCAAAACATGATTTTCTAACAGTAAAGCTGAAATAATTCTGGCTTGGCTCAAGCTTTGCCTGATGTTTTTATTTCATTTAAAAGGTCTCAACGAGACCTAACTTTGCATCGGACGGATTTTCGATAATAGATTCCGGGACTAAAAAAAGTTCGATTTAGTGCGCGTTTTGTACCTAATTTGACAGTCATATCATATAAAATGATTATAAAAAAAGGAATACAGGCGAATTTCAAAATTCCGTCCGATGAAACGTTGCATATGGAGGCTTGCTTTAATTTGAAATCCACCCGACTTCGATAACTTTCACAGCCATGAAGTTATTTTGATTCTCGTGAAGTGGTCACAGATAGCGCCACTACCTAACAAAAATAATAATAAAAAAACATGAACTTTCACCCGTCAAAATGATCCAATCAGATATAATTTTTTTTCGAAATCAATGCTAATTATTGTTTATTCCTATTGAACTTGTTGCTAACGTCATCTGCGTTATGTATATTCGTTAGTGTGTTTGAAATAACTAGATACGTTGCCAAGAAAAAGTTTTCATAATGGCTCCTAAGAAGAAGAAGAAGAAGGAATATTACAATGATTTACGTGAAGTTGTTATTAAACATTATTTGAATGGCGATTCTGAGAGCGAAATAGCTCAGAAAACATTAATTTCACGTGATTCTGTTCATTACATGGTTGAAAAGTACAAATCGACTAAATGCATTGGTAATATAATTGGTCGAGGTCGAAAACGGAAAACAACAGCTCATACGGATCGTGTTATTCAACGCAAAATCAAAGTTGATCGTCGAAAATCAGCCTCAACTATCAAAGCTGAATTCAATATTGCTATTTCTGAAACAACAATTAGTCGAAGAGTTCATGAAATAGGCCTTTACGGTCGTGTTGCTCGCAAAGAGACATATGCCAACAAAATCAATCATTGGAAATGTCCCGAGTATGCTCGAACATATCGCGAAAAGCAAGGAGGAAAACTCATTCGGGCATTCCTAGCCATTCCTAGCGATTCTTATACATTCCGATCCATTCCTACACTGAAAAAAAGGTATCATACGAAACTAAAAAAGGGTTTCGAGATTCGAAACGAATTCTGAACCATTTTTTAGTTTCGTACGAAAACGGTTTGGTATAACTATTCTTTTTTTAGCTTAAAAAAGGTTTCGTAACCGGGGGGGGGGGGGGGGGGGGGGGGGGGGGGGGGGGGGGGGGGGGGGGGGGGGGGGGGGGGGGG